CTAAGGAAAATTATTAAATCTATTTTAGAAGAAATCTATGAATTACATATCTGATTCAAAATTAATTTAATTAAAATAATTTTAATTGAAGAGAAAATCTTGAAATGTGACTTATAATAATCCTGAGCCATAATTATTAATGCCAAGAATACCAAGAAATTTGGAAAGTCAAAAGAAAAAAACTCAACATCTGTATGTTTAAAGCAGCTGAAGTCATAACTAATAACATTGCACTATTATTATCTAATATCAGACAAAGCACCTCTAGAACTATAATAAACAGAAAAACCTGATAGAGTTATTCCTAAGAGTTGCAATGATTTCCCTGAGAGCAAAATCATATAAGATACTAAGAGAAATGACAAAACTCCAAGGATTTTCCATAAAGCTTACAAAACTTCTAACATATTTATATCAATAGCATTATATCTGTACAGATTTACGTAGGTTAAGTTCAGCATCTCTTTTTTAAATTTTTTTAAACCACTTCCTGAGGAATTCTACAAATAAATCTAAGTATTTTCAGCACCTCTTTTCAAAAGTGAAAGACTCATTCTTTGTGACTTTTTTTCACCAGGGGCCTCTGAGAACTTTTAAGTATAAAAGACATCCTGAAAGTTTAATTTCTTTTATAGTTAGGACCCAATTATGGAACTGCGGAAATCAGAAGGTTAAAAAAAAAAAAAAAAAAACTTGTCTGAATGTATTTGGAAACTTGAATAATATAAGACGAGGGTGCCAGGGAAATACTGTATTAAATATTTAAACTCTTTTTGTGTGTGTTTTGTTCTAGGTATTGACCCAGGGATACTCTACAACTGAGCTACATTGCCAGTGCTTTATATTTTTTATTCTGAGATTGGCTCTTGCTAGGTTGTTGAGGATCTAAGTTGTCTAGACTCACCTCAAACATGATCTTCCTATCTTGCCTCAGCTTCCTGAGTTTCTGGGACTACAGGCTTGCATCCCTGTGCCTGGCTATTTAAACATTTTAAGCAATAAAATATTTTAAAAATAAACATAGAAGTTAATATGTTTGTAAAGAGCCTGAGCTCTTTATAATTAAGAAATCTTTGTTCATTGGTTTTTTTATGATTTTTCTTTCTCTTAAATAATCAAGGATATAAAAAAATTCAACTGCAAAGCACAAAAAAAAATTATTCTTGTAAGACCAAATCTTTGCTGTTTAGATAGATAACATAGAGAGTTTTTTTAAAGTCTTTTCTTTAATAGGCAAAGAAAAGAAATCAGTAAGCCAAGAAAGCAAGCTCATCAGATTGGGCCAACATTTTGTTTGTGGTGTGTAGCCCTGGGAATTGAACCTAGGACCCCAGGCATAAAATTGAACCAACTTTACTAAAATTTTAGTACTTAACAGCTTCTTCTCAGACTCCAGTATTATACACCAAGTCAAGTAAAATGTCCTTCCAAAATTTGTCCTTCATTTCACCTTTTCATATCACAGAAATTCTTACTGACACCATAACTGCACACAAAAAAATTACATTAATACTTAACATGATATTCTGTTAACAGTTCAATGAATTCAGCATCTCTATGATCAAATAAGTCAGTAAATATTCTTAAATTTCTCAATCAATATGGTATATTGATAGTTGTCACCCACATACCTTAAAGTTTCTTGGGGTCCACAATAAGTCCCAAGATTTTACAGGGGTTCTGAGATGGTAGGAAAAAACCATTTTCTCTTTCTGTCTTTCTCCTTATCCCTTCTTCCACTATTATATACCAAAGTATATTAGCATTCCACTATTATACACTACTTTGCAACAGCCACTATAAGGCGAATCTGTATTGTCTTTGAGATGTAAAACACACATATTATGAATCTATTCCTATTATTCCTAGCATGGCCTCAATTATTCATACTAATAGTGACTTTTAACCAAAGTAACTTCCATTTCACAGAGAAAGCTGGAGGTAGAGAATTTAGAACTATTTTTCCACACACATTTTAGCAGACTAGCAAAGTTTATATTGCAACTTTCTATATCCACACACATAACTTTTTTAAATAGACAAAATGACATTTTCATTAACAGAACCCAAAGACAAGCACTTTTCATATCATGTGAAAAAATATATATAAACTCAAAATCATACCTAATAGGTATCAAATTTCCAGTAGTCTTAGTTAGAAATTATCTAAATATCAAATAAGTTTTCATTATATAATTCAATGTAATATCAGTTTAATGTTTTATGTTACATAAAGATATTGGGAAGGATATTCAAACTGACATACTTAAAAAGGTAAAACATAATTATAGTCAAAATAAAATGGTCAGAATAATGATTTGATTTAGTTGAATACAAATTTACATTTCTCATAATCTTTAATTTTATATGTGAGTAAAGTTGACATGATGAGCATACCTGCATAATTTTAAGAAAAATAAAACCTAGTGGAATAAAATGTTGCTCATTTTATGTTATACCCAACAATGATGAACCAGCGAAGGCAGCTTTTTTTATTAATACAAAATTACTACCTTGGACTTGAATTAAAAATTGAACTTAAATTTTAAAAATTCTGAGTTTCTTTAAGAATAACTTTTAAGTATTGCACATTTAAAATATTATAATTTTAATTTCCTCATTTCCTAAGAATTTTATGGGTATTTGCTTTATAAAATAAATTATTTATATCAGAACTTTCTTATATGGCAATCACAAAAGGGTTTCTATGAGAAACTTTTTAACCAAATTTATTATACTCCAGAGATTGGAAAATATTGTGCATTCACACTACAAAAGATAAAGGTCTTCCTAAATTACAATATTTTACATACAGAGACACAAAAACAGCTAATAACATCAGGTCTCAGAATTATCCACAGGTCAAAAACAAACACACAGAATCACCAGTCCATATGTCAAAGAGTTATACATTTTTTCAATAGGCACAGCATTTTTAACTTATGTTTAAAATATATAAGTATACAAATAATGAAAATAAAATACTAAAAAACTAGATTATTTATTTTCTGTCTTCCAACAGAGAATAAATCTCTATTATCCATTTACAGAAATTACAAAAATTAGACCATAAAACCAAATTCAGAATCACTGCTGTTACTAGTGGGGGAATAATTTATCAATTGTAAAAGTTTAAAAGACAAAATCAAAACACAAAAAATATCAGGAAAAAAAATAGAAAGAAATAGAGGATCAGCAAAGTTTACATTCTATTGCTACTTAAAATTTACCTCTGGAGGTTCAGAAAAGACATGCCATGGTAGAAGAGGCCAGTGAGGTACCTCGTTACCCTACCACAGGAATACTTAGCTATCAGAGGAACCCACTAGGCATCAGCAGGAGACACTCCAATTACAAGAGACTTTTCTAAAAACAGCATAATTGTAACTCTTCTACAGATATAACATGAACATATTAAAAAATTCATTTAATTAATCATAGAAGGAACCAGAAGATATTACAACCAGTTCAAAGGAGAATATTCAAAGAGTAGAAAACATGTACATATAAGGTATAAGGAAAATTGAAGTAAAATAGTTTCAAAACAGGTCCTTATAAAGGGCAATAGTTAATTGCATTTCACTGGGCACAATTAATTTGCATCTTAGACAAGAATATAATATTGTTTTTACTATTATCAGTTTTGTACAAGTGCAAGAACTGTAATAAAGATTGAAAATTCAAGATTGAAGAAGTATGAGGAAATCTCTTGTATTGAAATAATGACATGATAATTTTTTAAAAACTTATAAATTAACACAAGAAATGAATCATCTCCTCAGGTTCATTGTCAAGGGATTCATGTTGTCCAGGCACATAAACATATTAAACACTTACATTCATTTTATGATCATTTCACAAAATATTTCAGATTTTATTTGCTCATTCAGCACTTGCATTAGTGCAGCATTTCCTATGCCCATCCTCCTACTTGAAATCCCTTGTCACTATCCATTGATTTGGGGAGACAGCACTGTCAGCAGTGCCACATGGCAATACATTTGGTCCAATGAATAGCATTAGATTGGGTGAGTGAGTCAAGAAACTCATTCTTTTTGTTGTACCCATTTTAATGACTATAGTTTTCATGATTGTTTAATTGTTTTGAGTTACACACTGTGTAGCTCAAAATTTCCAAAATATAATTTTTCAACTGGTATAAGAAATTAAAAATTATGTGGGAAAAACAATACCAAGGTTTCTCTCTAGCTCCAGTTCTAAGTTTCCTACCATTTATTTCTAAAATAGAAGAGACAACAAGTAGCATGATATTTTCATTATTAAATTCACAAAAGGCTCAATGGCTTGTATTTTTCCAATTATCATATCATGCAACTCTTTTAGAGAATTTTTTTCCCTCTGTAAGAATTAGTTTCACCTACACTTCTCTCTTCTCTTTATCAATACCACATCACCAAATAGTTATTTCCATAGGAGCTCCTTAGGAGCTAATTATATTGTAAATATGATTGACAATGCCAAATAAAGATAAAGAGACCAAACTTTTTTTTTGTAGATTACAATTTGAATGGGGGAGAGAAGCAGATAAATGGCTTTTAAGATAAGAAAGCAGTTCTTCATGAAACTCACTGTGGACAGGTCTACCATTCCACATTTGAGAGATTTTTATTTGATAAAATGGAGTTTAAGATAGCATTGTTTTTGAATTATGGTCCTGAAATCATATATTTGTAAAACCCATCACTAGAATTTCTACAGAGTTAATAACTCACAGGGTTCAACAGAATCTAGGCCATTGTGAGCCTGAGACACTGCTCTGATCCAGGTATTCTTGGTAATGTCACAACCCTGGGCCACAAAGCTCCTAATAGGAATCATCACTGCTCTTGAGAAAGAGTCAGGGGAGGAAACATGGAACTGTCTCCATGGAAACAGCCTTTTTAGTTCTGTCTTCTGCAATATTGAAGCAAACAGACAATTCACTTAATACCACTTATTTTATTGATTGAACTAACAGTGTAATTTGTTGTGTATTTTAGGCTCAACCAGGTGACAACTCCACTAGAATCCCCATCCAGACAGATCTCTACATACAAGCGATCATTTTCGACCACATTTCCAGGAGGAAGACTTAAGCACCAACTTCTTAGGTGGTTTCCTCATTGTTTGGTAAATTTAAATTGATCCTGTAATCAGAAGCAAATTAGAATCAGATAAATGATTCTTGGTCCTGATCCTTAGAATAATAAAAGTTAATATAGAAATTAGAAAACTGTCATCTTGCCTGTCTTTGTATTGTACAGATAGCCTCTTGATGTGATTTGGGGTTTTTCCTTTTCTTTCTTTTTTTCCCCCTTGAACACTGAGGCGAATTGCAACAGTTCATGAAAGAAAATCTTGTTGCCACTTCAAAGATACATTAATTGGTGACATATTGTGTAGCTCAAATTTTCCAAAACAAAAATGTTCCAGGTCCCATTATTGCCAAATCTAGTAGACCAAAATGATGTCGTGTGGCACTGCTGGCAGTGCTGTCTCCCCAAATCAATGGCTAGTGATAAGGGATTTCAAGTAGGAGGACCGGTCTAGGAAATGCTGCACTAATGCAAGTGCTGAATGAGCAAATAAAATCTGAAATATTTTGTGACATGATCATAAAATGAATGAAAGTGTTTAATATGTTTATGTGCCTGGACAACACGAATCTCAGGACAATGAAGCTGAGGAGATGAAATCTAAAGGAAACCAGAGGATTTTAGAAAAATGACTGCATCACAATGGAAATGAACATGTTTTCCTAATGTGCCTTTCACATAGCTTTCGTGAAGAAAAGATACTATGCAGAGGCCACTTTTTATTTAAAATTAATATTTGGATCTTCTTCCCACTCAGTTCCCTTTCATTTCTAAACAACTTATTCCTGAGGCAATTAGATGGGGCTAAATAAAGTGGGAGTCTCTTTGGTGTGTGGCAATGGGAGAGTCCCAGACAGTGTCCATTCAAATGAGGTGAGAAGGGTGTATCCATGTGGGAAGCTGTAGAATGGCACAAGATGTCAGATCCCAAGCAGGGTGAGTGGAGTACAGCTTAAATTGCAATTGCATGTGTTTGATCTCATAATTTTCAATATATACAATGGATTGTGTGTGTGCATGTGCACACCTCACCTGCATGCTATCATGCCCACTGAGAGAGCCCAGCAGCAGCAACACCCCAGGATCAGTGTCTTAGTTTCTCAGAAGCATTTTCCATTAAAAATAAGCAGAATCCTTGGGAAAACAACTGATTTCAGGTTCATGGAAGAGAAAATTCAAGAGTCTGGAACAGACTTTTCCAGAAAGCAAAGAAGTACTCATCAAATAAGGAAGATTTATTAAAAGGACACAGAACCCAGTTCGGAGGAGCTCCCACTGGCCAAATCAAGGATAGTGGGCATCAAAGCAACAATAACAGCAAGAATCAAATAGGAATCCAGAACCCATACTGATGCATACACATGAATAAATAGAACAATGATGAGGAAGTGGATATTTACCTCTCCACAAACACTTATTGATTCTAAAGGGACCAAGAGAAATGGCTAGCAAATACCACTTACAGGAAGTGATGAAGAATATTGTCAGTAATGAGGCAAACTGAATCTGTGCCCTACCAAATAAGATTTATGACTGAATCAATATTAGTCAAATATCACATCTTAAGTTGGACTAGCAAGGCTTCTCTCATGCAAAGGAGAAAGACAGCAAAGTTGCATAAGGCTCTGAATGTAATCAAATGAAATCAGACAAACCCAAATCCAGGGACATTATACAAAATAACTGGTCTGTAATCTTTAAAAGTGTCAAAATGATGAAATTGAAAGACTGAGAGACCATCCAGACCAAAGAATAGACACATGACAACCAATTATAGCACATAATTCCAAGTTGAATCCATATCCTGCAAAGGGCATTTGGGGACAACTGGTAAAAATCAAATGGTTTCTGAAGATTAGATGGTAGTAAAGCAAAAATGTTTACTGTATGATTTTGGTGATTATGTTGTAATTATAAAACAGAATGTTGCTGATTAGAGGAATTATTCCAAAGCATCTAAGAGTCAAAGGGTATCGTATCAGCTGATTATTTATAAACAACTCAAGGAAAAAAGGTCTTTGTGTTATAATTGCAACTTCTAAGCCTGAGATTGTTTATAATAAAATAAATATTTTAATTATTAAATTTAGAAATTCAGAACCCTAATTCCTTTTATTTTAAGCATGATGTATTTATTTATAGATTTGACTAGATTTCTGGTTTATAAATTTACAAAATTTCAACTTAAAATCATGTCTGAATGAATTCAAATATCACATTTTAAATAATATATCAATGCTTACCTATTAGAGTCTATAGTTGCCATAGATTCCATATTCTATAAATTCTATAGAATATTCTATAGATTCTATAGACTCTAATAATATATCAGTGCTTATCTATTGGAATCTATTAACTATCTAATTGATAAGCATTGATATAAATATACCAGCTTCTCTTTTTATTTTATTTTATTTGTTTATTTTTATGTGGTGCTGAGGATCAAACCCAGTACCTCATATGTGCAAGGCAAGAGCTCTGCCACTGAGCCAAAATCCTAGCCCACCAGCTTCTCTTAAACACAACTATTTTAAAATAGGCATTTGTAATATTTAAAATGCTTAATATATTCTTAGATTATTCCTATATTTAATGCCAAGATTTGAAACACTAAAAAAAATTCATATCACCACCAGTGAAATTTTATCTCCTGAACTGTACTTACTAAGAGTAAATGCTGATTGGAGATTTGAGTTGGCTTATGGGATGCATTAGTCAGTTTGAGCTACATAGTAATTACTACAGACAGGGTGGTTTTAACAACAGAAATGTCTCATCATTCTGGAGGCTGAAACTCTATCAAGATGTTGGCAAGTTTGGGTTCTTCTGGGGCTTCTCTCCTTGTCTTGCACCTTCTCACTGTGTCCTCATGGTTTTTTTCTCTATGCATGCATGTATCAGTGTCTCTGTGCACAGAAAATCAGTCAGATTGAATTAGGGCCCATCATAATTTTCACTTAATTTCTGTTTAAAGGTCCTATGTCCAACATATGAACCTACATGCTTCAAAATATGAATTTGGTTGGACACAATTTAGTCTTTAACATGGGATGTGGACTAGTAACAACCAGGACATTTTCTTATGATTATACCATCTCAGCCAATGCTAATCCAAATCTAGACCTTGGAGAATTCTAACATCATGCCTCTAAAATTGGAATTGGCTTGCTGTCCAGATGCCCTGGATTCAAGTTTCAGATTCTAATTTTCTTGTCTAACTTCAGTTTGCAGCATCTACACAGGGTGAATGATACTCAGTGACTCTATGCACAGCTTCATACTAATTCTGAATTGCTTTCACATTCTTTCTATCTGTAGGTCCACAACTCTTAGGAATATTTAAATGACATCTGATTGTGTTGAGCATATTGCTCAAGTTTTGCCTTGCCCTGTTGTCACAGTTCTAAGGTCACACTAATGAAACTACTGAGACTTGGAAATCCCCTTCATAGAAGTTCATTAAAATGACTTCTTTCCAATAAAGCAGAGATATCAATTAGCGAACTGTTACCTGAGAGTACAGGTAAACGAAGAAAGTAATTTATTTGAGGCTGGTGGTGGAATGCAGGGCCCAGGAGAGGGGATATGTGGAAATCAGCAAAAAGAATAGTGGGCCAAAGACACAAGACCAAAACTGAGCTAGCCAACTAAAGGGAAATGAAACAAGAAACTGGGCAAGGCAGTAGAGTAAAGAGCATTGAGAACCAGACTATTTGGCAAACTGAAGTTGGTAACCGTCCAAATCACTTTATCTCTCCAGACTTTGGCTCCTAAAGATCCCTTCAAAATCCAAAACTTCTATGATTTCTCCTTGCTGTTTTTCTAAACTAATTATAGACTCAGCTGAAGAGAACAGTCTTGCAAGTTAAGTATAATTTCCTCCAAGTGGTAGTTTAAGTATATTACTCAGGATTCTGGATAGGTGAGACAGAAAGCTAATGTGAATCTCTATCCTAAGAACATAAGAATGTCTCCTAGAACAAAAAGAAAGGAATAGGTCTGTATCCAGGAATAATATAAGAAAAACTTGAACAACCTCAGAAATCCATTTCTAACTCACTACTCAGTTCCTCTCTGCCATCATTTTCTTTCAACAAACCAGCATCTGTGTTTCTCCAGACCTTGTCTTATGGTATAAAATATGGTTTCAATTGTTCTAGAGTTTCATATTGTCTGTCTCTGTGTCTCTCTTCTCCCTCTCCCCTAATTTTCTTCCTCACTCCCCCTTCTTTTTCCAGAATCCCAGAGAACAGACACTTCAAACAGGAGGCCAGCCCCCATTAAAATTTAAAATCTAATATGGTTAGGCTATGCCATTTTGGACTGAAATTATATTTTCCATAATTACAGCAGTCCTGATAACCTTGTGGATGAATAGGCATCTTCAGAAATGTGGGCAGATTCTGTCACAAAACAATGGAGCTTGGAAGTGGTACAGGGGAGGGCTGCAAGAAGATGCCTGGCTCAGGCCCCACATCACAGAAGCAGCAACTCTTTCTTCCTCTTTTCACTGGTGGTGACAATAGAATAAAGGTAATGTGACTAGATAAGGTGTCTCTTTTTGTGTCTTGTTTATAATACAACTTTCTAAGAGCAAGTATATGGTAAAAATCACCTGATATATGACTAGCCTCTTCAATGGTATCACATCTTCCAAAATAATATGATTTAAAATAATAGATAACTAGCTATTGATTATTTTAATCTCAAGGAAATTAAAAGGAAATATCTACTTATTTATGGGTATCCATCATGAGTGAGTTACTCTTCCTAGGGCACAATAATGAATAAATACTTCCCTCAATAAAGTCACCAGCTCAGAATTTTATAAAAGCTAAGCATTCTTGTGTTTTTATTGCTATTGGCTGTTGCTGCTGCTGTGGTGGAGTAAATTCCATCCCCCACCCCAATTACAGCTGTAAAAAGAGTGTTGTACATCGTATATTATTATAGTTGAATTTAAATATTATATTGTACTTGTCCTCATTACCAAACCATAGATTCAAAGGATTCCAGATGATACCCTAAGATTTTATAAATATACATTGTACTTGGTGACAATTGTTTTACTCCCCCTTTCCTCTGATTATGCCTTATTTCCATATCTTATTACATTATCCAAGACTTTGCAGAACCATATTCAATCATGATGATGATGCTGGTTGTTGGGAATACCACCAAGAAAGTATTTCCCAAAGCATGCTCTGTGGAGTGCTAGTCTTTTTAAAGTATCTGCCAAGAAAAAAAAATCACATATTTAAGCAGAAAGAGGAATGTACTGCAATCCAAAGAGCTGATAACTGAGACTTGAGAAGGAAAGAATACAGAAGAATTCTGGAAGCCTCTCTGTCAAGTGCTGCCAAGTAACTGACCTCCAACTACTCTGTGGTTTCTCCCTCAATCCCACATTTCAAATTCTCAAGAGAGGAAATCTGATTGCCTACACTGTGGTTAAATATCCATTCCTGGATCAATCAACAATGGTCAGGGGCAGATGGTAGACATAATACCTGAAGGCTCATCTTCATGTCTCAGGGGGTGGTGTTTCTAGGCCTGTCTTCAAGGGAATTTTATTAGTTGGGGTGACACCCAAGAATAGCCTTTGTAAAATCTCTTGAAATCAATATTGTGCATCACTCCTTGAAAAATACCATTAACTATGATACTGAGTCTTGATTTAATATTAATATTTTTATTGGGGGGGAAAATATACTTTTGTTTCATTTCTTTTGGGCAAAATATCCATGTTTTCCTCCAAATGAAGTTGTGCCAATGAATTGAAACTATTATAAATAAAATTAAGCTATATGATATTGCTATGTATGTGAATTCGGGTATGCATTTAAAGTAACAATGCTTCTTAAATGATTTCTTCAAAAATTTATCAATTCGGTTGCTCATCAATGATTTGAGATTTTTGAAATTCTATTTATGGGAGTACTTTCTACATATGTAGTTCCTCCTCCTCCTCCTCCTCCTCCTCCTCTTCCTCCTCCTCCTCCTCCTCCTTCTTCTTTGCCAATAAAACTTTGACACTAGATTTTGAATATTGAATTTCAGTCATTTTATGTAAACTTTATTTTTTTAGAGCAGAGAGCTCCCATATACTTCTTCTCCCACTGATTCCTCTATTGTTAACATCTAACATTAATGTGGTATACAATTGATGAACCAATATTGAAAAATTATTAACTGAAGTTCATAGTTTACATTAGAGATAACTCTGTGTTATTCAGTTCTATGAATTTTAGCAAATTAGTACTGTTTTGTAATTCACTATTAAACTATCAACCCAATAGTTTTACTGCCCTAAAAATTCTTTGCTTGCCTACTCATTCCAACCCCTCTATCTACTTAAGCCTCTGGCAACGCCACTGATCTTTTTTATTGACTGTAGCCTTTTTCAGAATATAAGATGGTTAAAATTATACAGTACATGGCCTCTGCAGACTGACTACTTTCACTTACCAATGCATTTAAGTTTGCTCCCTGATGTTTCAAGGCCTGATAGCTCATCTCTTTTTTCTTTAATCGCTTAATAATATTTTTTATGAATTAGATGATCTGTTTACCATTTAATTATTAAAGGACATCCTGGTTCTTTCCAGGTTTGATCATTATGAATATAATTGCTCTAACCATTCATGTACAGGATTTTGTAAGGACATGAATTTTCAACTTGTTTGGGTAAATACCAAGAACCATGCTTGCTGGATCATATGGTAAGAAAGTACCAAATTGTCTCAGAAAGTGATTGGGCCATTTCCTGATCCCACCAGCAAAGAATGTGAGTTCCTTTTGCTCCACATTCTGGTCAGCATTTAGTGTTGTCGGTGTTATGAATTTGAGCCCTCCAAATAAGTGGGTAGTGATATCTCAG